CCTGACAGCATAGGTACTGTATAACTACTGTGTTGTTTCTATTATCATTACTGGTGTTATGACTATTAATAGAGAAGAAAAAGCTAAGGACACAGGAGCACTATCTGCCACTTAACTACCATGTGACCTTTGGATTTAATAAAAGGAGCGAAGGACAACCCCCTGGGGTCCCCTCCCACTGTGGGAGCTTTTCTGTTTTCTCAATAAATCCTACTTTCTTTTCTTTCTTTTTTTTGCACTGGCGTCTCACTCTGGCGTCTCACCCAGGCTGGAGGGCAGTGGCACGCTCACGGCCACCGCAGCCTCAGCCTGCTGGGCTGGTGATCCTTCCACCTCAGCCTTCCGAGGAGCTGGAATCACAGGCACGCACCACCACGCCGGGCTAATTTTGTTATTTATTGTAGAGGTGAACTCTCGCCAAGTTGCCCAGACTGGTCTCAAACCCATGGGCTCAGGCAATCCTCTCACCTCAGCCTCCCAAAGTGCTGGGATTATAGGCGTGAGCCACCGCACCCGACCTAATCCTGCTTTCAAAAAAAAGTGGAGCTAAAAACCCAGATTCCGGTTCTGTCTCCTCCACTCAGCAGCTGGGGGGCTTTTGCAAAGCATGTCAGGTTCCTGGAGCCTCAGTTTTCTCATGTGCCTGTGGGGCCGAGACAAGCTGTCCTGATCTAACAAGCGTGTTACGAGGATGAAAATACAACAGTGGACTTTGCAAGGAGCAGCGCGGTCACCACTGCCACAGCCGCCCCGGACTGAGAGCCAGAGGAAGGAGGAGACATCTTTAGTGTTGCTTCAAAGACAGAACCAGGACCAGAGAACAGACCGGACTGTGGGGTAAACAGCAGTTTTCCCAAAGGAAGAACTTTTTTCTTTTTGAGTCAGGGTCTCACTCTGTCACCCAGGCTAGAGCGCAGTGGCACAGTCATGACTCACTGCAGCCTCGGACTCCTGCAATCAAGCCATCCTCCTGCCTCAGTCTCCCAAGTAGCTAGGACTACAGGCGCATGACACCACACTGGACTACATTTTTGTAGAGACAAGGTCTCACTATGTTGCCCAGGCTGGCCAATGGAAGAACTTTTTTTTTTTTTAGTTGGAGTCTCACTCTGATGTTCAGGCTGGCGTGCAGTGGCACACTCATGGCCACCGCAGCCTCGACCTGCTGGGCTCCGGCGATCCTTCCGCCTCAGCCTTCCGAGTAGCTGGAACTACAGGCGCGCACTACCACGCCCGGCTAATTTTTGATTTATTGTAGAGATGAGGTCTCGCCAAGTTGTCCAGGCGGGTCTCGAACCCCCGGGCTCAGGCAATCCACTCATCTCAGCCTCCCAAAGCGCGGGATTACAGGCTGAGCCACCACACCCGACTGGAAGAACTTTCTAATAGCAGCTGTGGCAGAGATCACAAAGTTTCTGAAAAGAAGCATCTGGCAGTGTTGGGGATCGGCTCTAAGAGCCTGGGCTTTCTTTCCCTGCCAGGCCTGCTGAACGAGGCCTGGTGTCCACGACGCGCAAGGAGCGGGGTCAGTTCACCATGGTCAGGGATGGTTTCAGGGGTGGGCTCCCTAGCTCCGAGCATCCTCCACCCTGCAAGGGCTATCTCTGGGAAGCTGCCCCTCTCCTGCTGCCAGGCCTCCTGCTCTGCCATCTCCAAGAAAGAATATTCCATGACCGTCCTCGTTGCTCAAGAACCCCCAATTCTTAGGCACAGCCTACATCCCTCCTGGAACTGGATGAAAAACGGGTTCCTGGGCTGCGTTTTCCTTGGTTTGAGGCCTCTCCTCTGAGTGAAACAGCCATTCATTGGCCAGAGAGAAAGGGACTGCAGTGGCCAGCTCTTCCTCTTGGACTGTTAGCACTTCCCTGCTCAATCTGAAAGGTCTTCAGCCTGGGTCCCTGTTTCGTTTTGTCTTCTTTTTTTGAGTCAAGGCCTCACTCTGTTGCTGGAGTACAGTGGCATGATCACGGCTCACCATAGCTTCGACCCCCTAGGCTCAGGTGACCCCTCTGCCTCAGCCTCCCAACTAACTGGGAATACAGATATACACAACTATACCTGACTAATTTTAATTTTTTTGCAGAGACAAGGTCTTGCCACATTGCCCAGGATTGCTCAAGCAGTCCTCCCGCCTCGGCCTCCCACAGTGCTGGAATTACAGGCATGAGCCACTGTGCCTGGTCCTGCCTGTGTCCCTTTCCTTGAAATTACAAAGTAGGCCAGGCGCGGTGAATCACGCCTGTAGTCCCAGCACTTTGGGAGACGGAGGCGAGAGGATTGCCTGAATTCAGGCGTCCGAGACCAGCCTGAGCAACATGGCAAGACCTCGCCTCTACAACAAGCAAAAAAATTAGCTGGGCCTGGTGGCGTGTGCCTGTAGTCCCAGCTACTTGGGAGGCTGAGGCAGAAGGATCACCTGAGCCCAGCAGATCAAGGCTGCAGTGGCCATGAGCGTGCCACGGCACTCCAGCCTAGGTGACAGAGTGAGACTCTGACTCAAAAAAAAGAAAAGAAATTACAAAGTAGCACAGAGACCTCCACGTCCTACCCTTCCTCTGCTGGGTGCACCGAAGTGGCAGGCATCCCTGGCCCACCTCTGCCCCACGCCAATGCCCCCACCGCGTCTTCCTGGCCTCCCTGGTCGGAGTCACACCCCCATGGCCTCTGCCCAGCACCATGACTCACACGTGGGTCAGCACCCACTCCACCCCTCTCCTGAACGGAAGCCCGCAGCCCTGGATCCCTCCCCCCGCGTGCCTGACAAATCATCCCCTTGTTAAGGCTACTCTTTCCCTAGGCTCCCACGCTTAGCTCCAACCCCGACGCCTTTGCCTGGTCCCCACTTAAACTGCACTAGGAGAAAGAGCTTTGAAATCAGACCCACTCCTGACTCAGCAGCTAACCAGAGATGCTCTAGCTCTTTTCCTTGCAGAGAAAGGGTCTTTGAATTCCAGTGACAACACTTGCTACTTGTCTGAACTCGGGCTGGTTCCTGAACCCTCGGGGCTTCAGCTTCCGTAAAATGGGGGTCATCACAGTACCTACGTCCAAGGACTGCTGTGAGGATTAAATAAGCTGGTAGCAGAATAATATGATTCATTTAGATTTATTTGTTGAAAATGTTAGGCAGGCCTAGCACAGTGATTCAGACCTATCATCCCAGCAATTTGGGAGGCTGAAGCAGGAGGATTGCTTGAGCCCAGGAGTTCGAGACCAGCCAAGGCAACATAGTGAGATCTCATCTTTACCAAAAAAAAAGAAAATTTAAATGAGCTGGGTGTGATGGTGCATGCCTGTAGTCCCAGCTACTTGGACGGTTGGGGTGGAAGGATCACCTGGGCCCAGGTGGTCGAGGCTGAAGTAAGCATGTCACTGCACTTCAGCCTGGGCTACAGAGAGAGACCTCGACTCAAAAAAAAAAAAAAAAGAAGGAAATCAGGGAAGGTTTCCCTCCTGGCCTGTCCTGCATGGAAGCCTGCCTCCTGGTCTGTAGACCCCTGGACACAGGGTCTGTGGTTTCCATTCCCTGGGACTTTTTCCCGAACTGTCCAGAACACTGCATCCCACAAAGCCAAGAAAACATGCAGGAATCCCCAGATTCACCCCTGCCCTCTCCATCTCTCACTGACATCTTTTCAACCGCAAATATTTATGGAGTGGCTCCTACTGGGCGGCTGTCTCTCCCCTTCCTGCTGTGTCCGGCCCCTCCATGGTGACCTGAGGGGTGAGAGTGTCTGCAGGCCCCAGGAGAAGAAGCGCGGAGCTGAGAGGAGGAATTCGAGAGAGCCCTGACATGAGTTGTAGACGCCTGCCTGGAAATTTCATCTGTTTCGTGTCCCACGTCTTCGGTATTAAGAGGAGGCAGAGTTTGGGGACCAGGCAAACAGGATGAGTCCCAGTGCAGTCACTATCTCTGTGACTTGGTGGCCTTTGCCTCAGTTTCCTCAAGTGTAAAACAGGAGTGATAATGTGAGAATTAACTCAGTCATCAATGGTGTGCGGTGCGTGCAGACACTTCCTTCCCCACCCTGGACTTTACATGGAGGTTCATCCACAAAACGGCCCGCCATTGTTTCCTCCCCAGGACCGGACGTCCCAACCCTTGTTAGTCCACGACACACCTCTGGACATGATGGGCTACACGAAGGTGCCTCCACCCCCGGCGTGACTCCTCCAAGCATCAACAGTTGCACATCTGCCTGATACGTGGGCTCACACGCACACACATTCATAAAAGATCTTGAGGGCACACGAACTCATGCCACCTTAGCCTACTTGCCCCAGTGCACTGCAGTCATTCATTTCTGTGCCTATCTGCCATATCCTTCGGTCCCCAGTATCTAGCAAAGCACCTGGCCTTCCATAAAGGGTGCGTGACTTATGCGTGCGTCTGTTTTGCCAGGTGCCTAGCACTGTGTCTGGCTTGACACAAGTGTCCCCAAGGTGTGGCACGGCTGAGGGAATACAAAGGAAAGGAATAAGTAAACGTTCAGCCCCGCCCTCCTCCCTTCTCCACGGTTACCAACCCCCCCCAGCTTTCAGTCCCCAAATTGGCAAGGAGTGCTGATGAAACCCAAAACTTCGGGACACACCCGAGCACTTACAGGTGAGGCGCCCAGGCAGGTGAACAGTGAAGCCCAGCAGGGCCCACCCCCACATTTTAACCTGGGTCTTTCGGGACCGCCCTCTGTCCCAACCCCTCCTCCTGGCTCTAGGGGCCCCTTCCCAGCCTCAAGGCCTGCTCTACCATCCCCCACTTTGCTTTCTCCAAAGCAAACCCCCTTCTAAACAAAGGCTGACACCACCCACCTCCACTGCACCAGCCTGCATGGCCTCGCCTCCCCAGCACCCTCTCCTACTGAAGTTGCCAGCTCTGTCTTGGCTGGCATCTTGCTCCAGGGCAGGGATGGGCGAGCATGACTCTGCCCTCCTGGAAGCATTCCCTGCCACTTGCGGGAAGATGGGCAGAGAGGGGGCCGCTGGTTCTGCAGCCGGGAGCCTCAAGCACCAGGTTGGCAGCACTGGGCAGAGACTTCAGTCCACGGGCCGGGCACCGTCTCGCCCGCAGGGCACGGGGGAGTGGCAGCTCCCACCCCTGGGTCTGAGGGTCTGCTGCCCAGCAGGCACCTCGGCTTCCTCGGGGCCAGGCTTCCAGGCACCAGGGACGGTGTAGAGGGACCGACTGACCTGTAGGGGTTGAGAGTGCAGACGGTGATGGCGGGGAAGACCAGCTTGTCAGAGTTCAGGTTGATGTTGAGGCTGACGGGGTAGCTGAAGTACTCTCCGAAAAGCAGGCCGAACTGCCAGTACATCATGCCGAAGGCGCAGAGCCAGAGCACGGCCCAGAAGGCCGTCTTCATGCGGTTGTGCTGGGAGCACACCAGGCGGATGGCACCGTGGATGGTCGTGTGGTTGCAGAAGAACTGGAAGAGCTCGCGGTAGGAACGGTGGAACTCGATCAGGGCCTCGTCCTCCTCCGTGGGCTGCCGGGGGGCCGCGGGCTCGGGGCCCGGCCCCGGGTCCTCTCGCTGGTCGCCCTTCATGAGTCCTTGGCTGGCCTGGGAGGACGGAGGCCAGGGTCAGGGCGGGGCTCGGCCCGAGGGGGGCTGCCCCTGCTTCTCTCCAGGTCTCTCTCGGCTTCCCCTGCCGGCCAGTCTCCCCTCTCGGACCCGGCCTTTCTCCTTCTCCCCCTGCCCTGCCCTGTCTCCCTCTGGGCCCTCTCCTCCAGCCTTGGGCCCTGACCTCGAGCCTCCAGCCGCGTCTGACTCTGTCTCTGCCCGGACCGCAGGGCTCCAGGAGGTGTGGGCGGCCTCTGACTTTCCACTCCCAGGTCGTGGCTGGACTGGGACTGGTTCCTTTCCAGTTGAATCTGGCAGCCGAGCCTCTCCACCCTCTCACCTGACAGGTGCAGCGGCCACCAGGACGGGAGCCACACCAGCCTCATTAGCATCGCAATTAAAGGCCGGCAGGGCAGGGGTGCCCGGGGAGGAGTCTGAGCCCGGAGGAGGGAGGAAGCTTCCGAGGAGAGGTGAATGGAAGCCGGAGCCCTGCTGGGCGGGCGCGAAAGACGGGACAGGGCAGGGGCCGGAAGACGCGCTGACAAGGGGGCGCCAGAGATCTGCGCGAGCAGAACCCAAAGCCCGAGAGGCCAGCACGGAGGAGGACCAGCCAGGCTGATAGAGACCGGGGTGGGGAGCCAGGAGGACTGGGAAGGCAGGAAGGGGAAGCCCGTGGCAGGGCGGAGGGAGAGATGAGACAGGGGTGAGGAGGAGCACTGAGGGAGGAGCAGCGAGGGAGCCAGGGCCAGAGGGGAGGGCGAAGGGAAGGGAAGCAGCCTGGGGGCGTCTCCCTCCAGCAGGAGAGCAGGGAGGGGTCCCCAGTGCTCTCAGGAGCTGGAGCCCAAGGACACCCCCGGTCAGCCTCACCCTTGGGTGCCCGAGGAAAGGGAGAAGGGTCCCTGCTCCCTGGGTGGGAGGGGCTCCTGGCCCCGCCTGTGCTCAGGTGGGCAGCCGCCTTCTCCTCCAGGTCCCTGGCCGCCACCCCTGTCCCGCCAGGCTTGGGGGGGCCCTCATGAAGCTGGGGACCGGGTGGGGCCCTGGTACATTCTGTTCTCCTGGACACCGTTGGCTGCTGGGCCAGGAATGTGCAAGGGCCCCCGCTGCCGTCACGGGGTTGCAGGAATGTGGGCATCGGAGGCAGCGCCAGGGCCAGGCAGGGCACTGTGGGCGCAAACCTGAAGCCAGGGCGAGGCAGGGAGCGCAGGCACCGAGGCGCCGGGAGGGAGGGGCCGGGAGGGCCAGCCTCGGCTCAGGGTGTCCCGGAGGAGGAAGGCGACGCCGCCGGGTATACACAGGCCCGGAAGGAGGGAGAGAGCTCAGGCAGGGGCTGTGCTTTTCTCTAAAATCCCCGTCCAGATCTAACCCGGCAGCAAGGGGATGAGGGAGCACAGAGCAGGGAGCAAGCAGAGAGGGGAAGGTCGGAGGATGAGGCCCAAGAACTGGGCCCAAGGAGACGTGGGCCGCTCCCGGCAGCCCAGGCCCTGCACGTAGCGGGAGGTCTGCCACGGCTGTGGGCCCTGCAGGAGCCAGCCTGGAGTGCAGGGACTTGGTCCCTGGCTTGTCCTGCCTCCCCCAGACTCAGACCTAGCCTGTCACTGATCTAGACCAGGAGATAGGCCCACAAATAGGCGGCAGTGATATGGTAAGATGAGGCTTCTGGTGTCAGAGATCAGAGCAAGTGTGGGGAAACCCGGGGGGAGGAGGGGAGAAGCTGCTGGGAGGAAACTCAGGAGGACTTCCCAGAGGGGATGTCTTCTCAGCTGCATCTTGAAGAGCAAGGAGTTTACCAGGCAGAGAAGAGAAAAGGGGACTACTCCAGGCTCGGGGTACATCCTGGTCTGTGGTTTCCCCTCTTGGGGCCGTCCCTGATGGCTTCTGAAAGCGAGAGCTGGTGTCAACTGGGATTCCGAAGCAGCCTGTTGCCTGCCTGGACACCAGCTCATGACAACCCCATCCCCCAACCCCCACCCTGGAAGGGAGAGCCGGCTTTTTCTTCCCTGTCCTGATGAAGAAACTGACCTCCTCCAGGGCAAGCCAGTGTTCTGAGGTTAAAACCAAACAGCAGCAGAGCTCGAAACAGAATTCAGAAGCTTCCTCCTCTGGGGTGTCTACTTAGTGTTTCTACCATCTGCTTGCTGAGACGAATGAGCCGCAGACTCGTGGGGAATGGGAGCTCCCTTGCCCCTGGGTGTGGCAGCCAGGAAGGGCTCACTCGG